ATATATATATATATATATATATATATATATATATATATATATATATATATACACACACACACACACACACACACACACACACACACACATTTATTTAATTGCCGAATAAGTAAAAGTTGAACGTATGAAGACAGAGCATGCTCACTGATTGATTTTGTCTCCTGTCGTGGTGGCAAACATGCAGTGGGAGGGAGGATGAGAACAGTCATGGTGCTCCTTCTTGTTGCGCCGTTGGACAGTGTTCATAGTGTTGTTTACAGTTAATTGCTATGTTTCATGGTTTAATGGTGCAAACAGTTGTGGTTTCTGATATGGGCAATATGGGCAACCGCCCAGGGCGTTATTTTTATAGGGATGGCAGGAGACCTCTGTGGATTGTGGCACAGCGATGAAAGCAAAACAGAATGAAATGAGTTTTAATTGATACTGGTTAAATATATTTCAGCTCTAAGTATTTAATATCTAGGTGTTTTTATGGAAATGTGGATCTTTCAGATCAATATGAGAACAAGTTTTGATAGGTGCACTTCATTTTATTGTGTCATGTAGCGCAGGGCGCTGGTCTTGGTCTCGGGTTCGGTGGTCTTGACTACAACTCTGCTACGTGGCTCCTTGGTTGCATGTCTTCCCCTCCCACACCTTCGTTCCATCCCCTTTCAGTTGGATTTCTTTCTAAATAAATGTCACTAATGAAGTTCATGCTATGTTAGGACAGGAGACAAGATGTTTCCATCCCTGAAATTATGATGCATAGAATCACATATCTAAGTTTAAACTATGTTACAGAGTAAACACAACATGTTCTTTCATCAAATTGGCACATTTCTGATGTATTAAAATTAAATATGATCAGTACACTTAATGATATTAGTGATTAGGTAATGCATTCAGCAAGTACTTTTACTTTTATTACTTAAGTATTTTTAAAAGCCAGGACTTTTTTACTTTTACTTAAGTAAAATGTTAATGTGGTACTTTTACTTTTACTTGAGTACATTTTTGTCTGTGTATTTGTACTTTTACTTAAGTAAATTTTTTGAGTACTTTCTCCACCTCTGTATATATATATATATATATATATATATATATATATATATATATATATATGAAATTATTGAGACACAAGTGGTCAAAAAATAGCATTGTGCCTGTATACACTGTTAAAATAACAGTGTATACAGTAGTTAGTTGTAGACTCTTAGTAAAAAAAAAAAAAAAAAGCCCTATGTGTGCCCCTTTAAATCCTCGGCAGCCTATACTGTCCATAGCGCAGGCTCTGAATAATTCCCCTCACAATATGGCGTATCATTGATCAGAACCATTACTTACTTTTTTTTTTCCAGAGGATGCTCATTGTGCACGATTAGCCCTAGCAACAGTTACCATGCTGCTGACACTGAGGTTATCCAGAATGTTAAAATTATTTTTCCTTTGAACTCTGTGTCATGAGGCCCTTCAGAGAATGATTTATGATGTCACAGAGTCCATGACATCACCAAGTCATCATTACATATAATACAATTCTAGCACAGAACTCATTTGCAAATATTTTTTGTGAGTGACAGACGTGTCTGTAGTTAGCAAGTTCGAAATGGAGACGAAGCCTAAGAAGTGGTTGTCCTTTAGGGAAATATGCACAAATCAATTCCAAAAGATTTGTCCCACAAGGAATCCTGATTATTTGAAGAGGGACTTTCTCAGTGACCTTCTGTGGCAGGTGATTGAGAAAGTTGCAGATCAACCAACCCTGCCCCTCGTCAGAGAAACCTTTGAGAACGCCCAGAGTAAGCTCTTATGCCAAATCATGGCAGAAACTGGGAAGTTAGATCTGGACATCCTGTCAGGAATGTCAGAAGAGCTAAGTGAAAGAATCTTTCAGAGCATCGCCAGTGATTCCTTCCACCTCGCCAGCGAATTGCATTTGTTTGCACTCCTTGTCTTTCCAGAGTCATATCCAAGGATAGTAGAAGAATTCAAGTATCACCTAGAGAATCCCGTTCCTCAAGAACCCACCAACATGAAGAAATTTTTACCATTTGTAATAACAAAGCTCAAAGACACTTTTTTTGATGCAGAAAGCTTGTATGCAGAAGAAAACTGCCTGAGTAAGGATTGTTTGAAGTCCACTTATCCTACAGGGATACGATTGGTGGAAAACGACACAGAGATGGGAATGAGACATGGAACAGATGAACAGAGAAAAATGATAAATCTAGTTCTTTGGAAACTGATTCGTAAGGCTAGTTACAGATCTACCACAAATTATAGACGGAAGGACATTATCTCCGTCTATGAGAGGCTTTCTGGAGTTCTGTGGGAAGAACTGAAGGATCTAGATTTTATCATTTTCCCAGATATGGACAGAAAAATTGGCTCAGACATCTTCCAACTTCTAAGTGGAAACGAGGATGTGGTAAGAGATAAGCTTTTCCATCTCATGAAAATGAGCCACCCAATTGTTGACTACAAGCTTGTAGCTTGCTTCAAAAGAACTCTGGCACATCCCAGAAAAGTTCATCTCCCAAAAAACTATCTGAGAAGTGCTCTGAAAAGCACCTGTAAAGATGTCAATTCTGTTATGTTCTATCATAAACAAGTTCATCCAAGCATGGGAAGCCCAACCAACTGTGAAAGCAAGGACAAAGGTGAAGCCACAGATGTGGTCCCTTGTGATCTTCTTTTGAAAGATCTTGAATCACTCAATCTTGAAAACCAGAACACAACTGAATCTCCTGTAAGTTACAATAGAAGCAGAGCCTTTGAGGATTCCCCAAAGCCTCAAAATGTACGCACAACAAAAGTGGTGTGTGAAAACCAAACAGTCATAGAAAGTGTCATCTCTGGGACTGTGTGCAGAATGTATCCCGACCTTGCTTCGTCAATGAGTGAGTGTCATCCGATTTTCATACAGGTGCGTCCATATAAGTCTGTTTTGGAAGATCCCGCACAAGAAACCCCCGAAAGTCAACAGAACACAAAACAAGATGCTACAAATGTGAACCTTGGTGATCCTGCTTCGGAAGACCTTGAATCAGTCAACTCTGAAGGCCAGGACATAAATGAAGACTTTATGTATGTGAATGAAGGTGATATTGTCTTGGAAGACCTTGAATCACTCGATTCTGAAGGCCGGTACAAATATGAAAACCCTTTATATGTGAACGAAGGTGATCTTGTTTTGGAAGATCTGGAATGATGAGGAAACATACCATCCTAATCCTCTCAATGTTTAATGATTTTAACAATAATGTCCCTGCTAGCAAGGGATGTTGTCTGAACGCTCGTTGCTAACAGGGACCAAAATTACGAACATGAGTTCAGTTGATTAATCTAAATTCTTCTTGCAAGAATTATTTGATATAAAAAAAAAGTATGGCTGTATAGTGGGATCTTTTTGCATTAAGTGTGCATTTTGTCCCCTGTACATGTGTGGGTTCCCTCCAGGTGCTCTGGCTTCCCCCACTTGGTCCAAAAATCACAAAAGTGATCTTGTTTTGGAGGATCTGGAATGCTAAGGAAGTACATAATCCTAATCCTCTCAATGTTTTATGGTGTTTGATTTCAGGACTACGTTCAAAGGACTTTGCCTGAAAGTTCCTTGCTATTTGGGTCCAAAATCATAAAAGTGATTTTAGACTCAAATAAAAGCGTAACACCCATGTCTCCATTCACACCATCAGTTATCAACGTTTTACATAATTTACCATGCACTTAGGCATGTAAAACAACACAAACCTGCTGCAGCTAACATAAATTAGAGCTTAAGTTAAACATGTTGTAATGTTTAATGTTTTGAGGTAAAGAAACCCACATAGCAAAAGAAAAAGAAAAAGGCAGTCTCCTACAAGTCGACAGATTTTGTAGCAGACAAAGAATCTGCATTTTGTCCACCCTGTGCATGTGTTGGTATAGGTGCTCCGGGTTGCCCCATAACCCAGGTAGTAGATGATGTTCACTGAACATTACATCATAAGTACAACACTCATGAACATTACCTAATGAGTATTGTATTTAATTAATGATTAACTAATAATTAAGGATTAATCATTAATTAATGCTTAATTAATTAATTAATTATTGATTATAATATTAATCATTAATTAATATTAACATTAATTAATAATAAAGACTAATTAATTAAGCATTGATTAATGGCTGAAAATCATTTCTCATTAATAATGATTATTAATCATTAACAGTGATCATTAATTAATGATTACTAGTTGGCCCAACTAATAGCAAACAAGAGTCAAACCAAAAGCTAATAGGGTCAAGCTAACATCTCATAAAAGTCAAGCCAAAACTAATAAAAATAAAATTAAAAGCTAACTAAAGTCAAGACAAATACTAATTTAAGTCAGTCTAATAAAACAGCTAATAAGAGGTAAATCAAAATTATTATTGACTATTATCTCTTATCAGCTGTTAGTTAATAGCTGATTGCCAATTAGCGTTACAAGGTAACGCTAATTAGCAATTAGCTTCACCACATTAACTATTAGCTTAAACATTTATAGGTTTTGTTTACGATTAGTTTGACTCTTATTAGTTGCTAGCTTGACTCATTAGCTGTTTGGCCCTTATTAGCATTTGGTTTACTCTTGTTATTTATTAGCTTTGCCATCCTTGGCTAATAGTTCAACCATTTCTTGGCTATTGGATCAATCTACTAGCTAATAACAGTCAAGCTAAAATCATATAAAAGTAAAACCAAAAGTTAAAATGAGTCAAGCTAATAGCTAATAAGTCAAATCAAATTCTTTTTGCTCAACTTTTATTAGGTTTTAGCTTTACTCTTACTAGATATGCGTTTGATTCTTATTAGCCAAATCTTCCAATTCACCATCAGTCCATGTCAGAATAAGTCCAGATGTCTTAAATTTTAAGCCAAAATCTGACCTTCCAGCTTGAAAATTGTCCCAGTGTAAAAGACAACCAGCATATTGAAGTTGCTCTCGTCTGTGTTTGCTCTTGAAATATTGAAACTTTGTTCCATATAGTGCTTTAACGCTTACCACCATCATTTTTTCCATCAGTGTATAATTTAACTCCATGTTGCGTCTACTTTTCTGTCATCACATCCTCGTCTTCATTGCACACCAATCGTTTTTGAATGGAAAGTTAATGCTGTTAGCAGCTGAATGAGCGCTGTTAAAACTTAAGGAGCTTGTCAAGTGTTTATATTTCTAAACAGAATTGCATAAAGTATATTTTGCAGCCCATGCCGAATTCTATATCGACTTTTTCTGTTTCCCATTCTGGTACTGTCCTGCCATCTTTCTTGCTTTATCAACTGTGTCCAGGTGAGGATGACCAGTGGCACCCTCTTCTGGTTGGTGGGCACACTACACCACTGAAAGACGGTCTAAGCAGACATGATTAGTTAACAGATCAGAAATTATTTTAACCTAACAAACCATTAATTGACAATCATAAGTCGATTAATGGTTTGCATCCCTAATTCAATCTGATCCATGATTCATGGAGTATGATAAAACAGGCTTGAGCCAACTGCTTCACAGTGCAACTGGCCCTACTGCAGTTCATTGGCATCGTCTGACAAATTGGCTGGTCCATAGGCCCAAAATGGACAATCTGGTTTTAGATGATGTGTTCTTTGGCAAACTGTAACTTCTTCGGTCCATGTTGTTTATAATTTGGGAATTTGTGGTCGCTTCTTTCCACACAAGATATGTTATCATCCACTTGTCATGTGAAATCTGAGCAAACTTTTGAAAAGTTTCAAAAAAGTTTACTTTTTTTTTTACATTTCATCACTTCGCAGCTACACATTTCAGTTTATTTATTTATTTTCTATTAAATAAGATCATTAGGACTAGAAAAGAATATAATAGTTTTCTTTTGTAAAATCACCGGTCTAAGGTTAGACCTAAATCTTATTGAAAATCTGTGCTGTTCAAAATTGCACTTTATTTAAAAAAACAATCCTCCCACTGTATATTAACGCACTATTTTCATCTATTACAGAAAATCCCAATAAAATACAATCGAGGCTGCAGTTGTAATGTCACAAAATTAGGAAAAGTTTAATAATTCTGTTAGTCACCTTATCTGGCTGATCTAACAAGCACTGAGAAAAACAGTTTCCTAAATACTTCCACAACTTATAACAGAAAAACAAACAAACACACAACTCGGCACTAAACTGCCACCATGCACAAGCTCACCAACTTGCCTAACAACGGGGAACTCCTCCTTGAGGAAGCTATTAACATGTTATAGGGTCATGTTCACGATGCACTTAAGGTAGACCCATACACACACACACACACTGCACTTGTGTTTGCAGTAAAGCAAGACCTGCATTAATGAGATCTGAGTGGAAGTGAAGGTGGAAATTGGTCATTAACCATCTGCTTGTGGCTCTCCTGCTTCTGGATACACAAAGTTTTGCGACTAATGTTTGTGTGTGCACTTGTTTGCAGTGAGTGAGTGTGAGGGCCTCCAGAAGAAAAACGTCTGCCTGGTGAAATTGCATTGGCCAACAGTGAAAGGCTAAGAAAATCTGATCATATCGACAGGCAGTATGTTCTAATTTAAGTTTAAATTACAATTTTAACTTGTGAACATCACACTATTTGGTAGTCCATAAATGGGAGGTTATTATGTACTTTCCAAGGACATGATGCCATTTTATGTCAGAGTCAAGTAACTGTTACCTTTAGTAGTGATGACAATGCTGTATGTATCAAAATTAACTTAAAATAAATTTGACTTCCTATTGTAGTTGCAGCGGACACCTTGAAATTGGCCTCTGTCTCTTTAAGAAGCTCCTGCTCTTTGACATTCTTCTTTCAGCACAGCAATGTTTCTTCACTCCACAGGTATGTTTTTGATGAGGGAAAGCTATACTGCAGCACGAGGACATCATATGAAGTTCAAAAGTTAATTTTGCAGTAATGGTAGCACAACCTTCATGACACACACACAAAAATAAGAGTTTTACACTTCTTCCTATCTTGCTGACTCCATCTCTGCTTAATCCATGCTTCTGACGAATGGCCAAAATGATGTTTTACAAATCCTACAAACCAATCCTACAAGTTCCTTTGTTATGTAGTGTTATTTTTCAACTTGCCCTCAATAATGATGGGTTTTTTAATCATTAGAGGCTGGAACCCTAAAGGCATCCAAAGTACCAAAGAAAATATTAATATCTCTTAAAGAATGAAAACAGATTTGAATCTAACATGTCGCTACTTTTCACGTGTCATTCCAAACCTCACAGATGAATAATAATAAATAAATAAATTTGCTAAATAGAAACATGCCAATTTAAAATAAAAAAGTCTTTCTGTACAACGTTTTTGTGATAGGATGAGGTGGGCTGTACTGAAATGTACATATTTTCGCATACCTCATTATATCACACGAATCAACAACCAGATGTTACTGCCAAAAATGATGAAGAAGATAACAGGAAGTGTTAGGAGGATGATCACTTTTAATGACTTTTTGCAAGAACAAACTTGATCACGTGATTTTAATCGTGTTTCTTTTTTTAATGGAAATAACACAAAATTGAAAATTATGTTTTTTCGACATTGGCGGAATATTTACAGGATTTTGTGCACATTTGTAATGGAAACGCAGCTGATGATGGCACACACAGTTTTCCATAAAGGCCAAGAACCTCAACTGTTGTCTCATCTGCCCAGAGTAGTTTTGTGTGACTGTGACAAAGGGCTGCATTCAAGAAGATCCCGTGTTGCTAAACATGTTGTTGATTGTTGTGATGACGATATCAGGTACAATATCTGCCTGATTCATTTCTTCCTCTTTCTCATCCGTGCTTCCACATGCGATTTAAGCATCGTCATTGAGTTCAGTCTGAGCATCTGCTGCCATGAGACTTGGTCCAACTGGCTACATATTACACTGACATGTAGGTTTATATCAATTGGAATATGTTAGTTAGTAAACAGTCCTTTGACAAACTAATATTGCAATGACAATGTATTGTGATATATTGTGCAGTCTTACCATGACATGAATTGAGCAGATGAAAAGCGAATGGCTCATGGAAATCAATTAAATAGACAAATGGATGCACACCACTATGACAGACTATGACTGAAAACACAAGCATATTTTACCATATCGTTTTTTTTTTGTTTTTGTTTTTTTTCCACATGTCCAGCTGTGGACATGTGACATGTGTCTGAACATGCTTTTATGTAATTCCATATTGTTCCAAATACTGTAAGAATAAGAGTGTATCACAGTTCATTTTACCCATTTCTGCAAATGTGCTCCTGTTGCTTTGCCAGAGTTGAACTCTGGGCTTTTCTCAGCTGGCTGAAGAACTTTCATCTGGTGGGAAAAAAAAGAAAAAGAAGGAACATGCAAAAGGAAAAACAGCAAAATCAGGGAGGACATGAAGGATGTGGTGGGGAAGATAAGCAGCAGTCGGTGGAGAGCTCTCCATTCGTGTGGCTTTTGTTTTTACAGCTTCCTCCCGCTTCAGCCACACAGCTCACCACACCTCAGCCGCCGGAAAACATAAACATCTCAAAGATGGAGTCTTTGATATAAAGCAAGAAGGAACATGTCAAAGTGTGAAGGGCGTTATATAGCAAACCAAATGAAGAGATTTGGCCCAATATAAAACAGAGCTATGCACAGTGGAAGCATGGTGGTCCTCTACCAGTAAAAGGAACAAGTCGATGATTTGTGATGACTTCTCGCAACATTAAAACGTCACAGTTTTTGTCAATGGCTAAAAATAGCTAAGTGTGACCTAGTAACTGTCAGAATGTGACTCCATCTGGTGAAATAAGAGAAAATTCTTATTAAGATCCAGTGATACGAAGGTGTGCGCTAATGTTATCTAATGTTATATTTCTAAGACAGGATGTAGCTCCTGAAATACACCATGTTAGTCTGGCTGATAATAATGTTACAACAGCACTAAACAAGCCTCTGCAATTTGTGTTAAAATGTGACAATATAAATGACTTGTTAGCACTGTATTCACACAGCAAACAATTTGTTAGCAGTGTGAATATACTGGCTAACCATTAACTGCTAACAGCACGCAATTTGTTAGCACTGTGAAAATACTGGCTAATTACTAGCAGCTAATAGCAAATGATTTGTTAGCACTCTGAGAATACTGGCTAACTATTAGTGAAATGCTAATAGAAACGATTTGTTAGCACTGTGAATATAACAATTTGTTCACATTGTGAAAATACTGGGTTACCATTAGCAGCTAACAGCAAACAATTTGTTAGCACTGTAAAGACACTGGCTAACCATTAATGGCTAACAGTACAGTTAGCATCTGCTTTGTGAATTAGAATTGGTGTCAGATGTGAAGAGTGTACACTTACCAAGGACTTATCTTCTTAAAACCATCACTGTTGAGTAAGAGTTTTAAAAAATTAATATTGTAAAATACCAATATTTGTTCTTACTTATTTTAGAAAGTGAAAATCATATAGATTAATTACACATAGTGAAATATTCCAAGCCTTTATTTCATGTAATTTTGGTGATTATGCTTTACAGATGATAAAAACACATGTTCCGTTTCATCTGCTGTTATTGGTTCACTGGGTTTTCAGCCGTCTGGCAGGAAATCTTAGAGCACTTCATGCTTCCTGCTTTATGGAGATCATGATTTCAATTTTCAGCAGGACTTGGCATTTCCCACACTGCCAAAGGCACCAAAATGACTCGTTCAATGACCGTGGTGTTCCTGCACTTGATTAGCCAGCAAACTAGCCTGACCTGAACCCCACAGAGACACTATAGACTAATACCATCAATGAGAAGATGAGAGACACCACATCCAACAATACAGATAAACTGAAGGCTGGTGTCAAAGAAACCTGAGCTTCCTCAACACCTCTGGTATGCAGTCACCCAAATCTTTAGTTTTCTCCAAAGACTCTACATGAGAATCGAGTCACAACTTCATGAAACATGATAATATTATGACCAGTTAGAGGAAACAAGTTTGCAAAATAAAAATATTATGCAAAACCAAAGTCTATTTTGGTCTTGATGGCCTTAAAAAAGTGCAATGTAGTATTTTATCTATCAACATATAAATAATAAAAGATTAATTTGAGGCCAAATGCGCCCAGTTTCATGTTTCTATGAATCAGAATTTTACAATAGATACAAAACATATTGATATATATAGATAAAAAAATAATAAAATTTTTTGCAGCGCCAAACTGCAAAAAGCACCGGCTTATTTACAAGTAACCACATGTAAATGCTGGGAGGCGCTACAGCAGATGGCCTGTTGTCACAGCAGGTTACACCTCAGCATGTCGGCTCAAACACAGATGGATGCTGCGCCGTACAGCTGGATGTCAGTCAGTGATGAAAGAAACACAGGGAAACATGTCAGTCGCTCATACGCACAAGGAGATGCACCATAAATCACTGACTGCTGCCAGAATCCTGATTAACCCTCTGATCCTAGACTAGGACCACCGTCATGTTGGTTTAAAAAACCAAAACAAAAAAAACAAATAAATCACTCACACACATACCCATACATTCTTAATAGTTATGAGAGAAGCCATAGAGACACTCTGTTTATGCCTGAGAGATGAGGGGGCAGAAGGGGATCCTTAAGTGAAATGAAAAAGGGACTCATCCGTGTCTTCGCTCACTGTCCTAGATCTCTGTCCCGATGTCTTCAGGTCTTTCAGGATCTGAGACTGATGCTGGAGACACTCCTTCATCTTGTCCTCTGTTAGGGTGAGACGCTCCTCCAGCACGGAAACGGTCTGCGCGGAGAGCAGGGGGGATTAGGGCATACGATAATTATACAGCAGTCAAAGAATAATTACAGAGGCAGAAGCAAGTCGGACGGCCTGTGGAATCGGTTCCGTCATCGCTCTGGAAACATAAAGCGAAGGCGGGAGATGCAGAAGAGGCTCTGTGGATGGATGACCTGGTTTTCTCATTTACCTTTCTGAAAAATTACTTTTACCGGCAGCATTTTTAATGCAATGAGACTAGGGATGCACCGATCCGCTTTTTTCACTTCCGATACCAATACAGATATCTGAGGTTTAACACAGACCAATACTGATCTCATACAGAAAAGCAGAGGCGAAACTTAACTGACTTTACACTTTTTCCAGATTTTATTTGTGAAAAAGTTTGAAAGTTGTGCATCATTTTCCTTTCACTTTGTGCTGATTTATTACTTGAACCCTAACAAATCATGTGGCTGAAATGTGACAAAGCGTGAAAAGGTTCAAGAGTTATGATGGGGCATTTTTAGGTTTGAACAAGTCAAATTTAAGACTTTTTAATGCCACCTTGAATAAAATGTAAGACTGCGAAAGCTACAAGTATGGGAGCTACAAGCTGGGAGATCCTATTGCATTACAACAGCAAAAATGGAAACTTCTGAGGTCTGCTGTGGTCCTCTTAAAAAAAAAAAAACTACATATGAGAAAATATGAGATGAAATAGAAAGACGCTCATTTAATTAACGACAAAAGATTGCACAGCTATACCAATTGCTTTAGTGGGGTCCATAATTTCTGATTCATTTCTACCTGATTAGTAATAATACAGCTAAATTTGGAAAAAGGAAAAAAACAAACAACAAAAAAAACATTACACTGAAATGAGTCACAAACACACAAACGTAGCCAAGAAGCTGCTTCTCAGCAGCTTTCAGATTTCCCCTCCAGCTGACCTGCGTGAGAACATCCAGCTGTCGAACAATGTGCTGCAGGGTGAAGTCCAGACTTGATGGATGACCGGGGAGAACGTCCAGTGGGCGGCTCTGCGTCGTGTCCTCTTCCTCCATCCTTCCTTTTCCTCTTCTCGGGCCGTCTGAGCCGGTCTGGTTCCCAGAAATCGACCTTGCCCTGCTGACACTTTCACCTCGGGTCCACGCTTCCACTCTCGGTCCGGTGACACGACGTGCCAGGAAGTCTGCCTGTGTGGGCGTCAAAAGTGGGAAAAACTAAAAGCTTTCAATTATTCAAGGATAAAAACACTTTTTGTAGAGACATTGGTGGGTGTTTAGCTTGCTTGTGTCTCATAATCAATTCATCTAAGACACCTTTTCCAGGAATCAGTACTTGGACATTTACAGAGGTGTGAAGAAGTCTTTGCACTCTTCCTGATTTCCTTTTTTTTTGCATGCTTGTCATACTTAAGTGTTTCAGAACTTCAAACCAATTTAAATATTAGTCAAAGACAACACAAGTAAAACCCCAAATGCAATTTTTAAATTAAAGTTGTTTATTACTGAGGAGAAAAAAAAAAAAAATTAAACCATGCTATCCTTTCCAAGGAGCCAATACACCATCAGCAGCTGTCATCTTCTTTCATACCAGTATAATTACCAAATTAATCACACCTTTCTCATCCAGATTAGGGCTGCACTGATCCACGTTTTTTTCACTTCCGATACAATACACAGATGTCTTTGGTGCAGTATCAGCCAATACCAATCCGATATAGAAAACCAGCACTCCATTGACTTAAGACATTTTGTTTTTTAAACGCAGACAAATGTCCTGAATTGTAAACTTGATAACTTTATAGTAGTGCGATACACTTAAATGCAAGCTTGGTCAAACATGTAACAGCAAACGCAACCTTTATTTCTTCAGTCAGCGCAATTAGGAGAATAGCAGCCAATGTAAAATAAATAAAGAAAAAAATGATAGAGATATTAATATCAGATCAGTTCTTCTCTAATCTGGGCCGCCATCCAGCACAAGTTGGGAACGCCCAGAAAACGCACCTGCATCCTTCAGCACAGGTGGGACATTTTGCCACGCTGCTCACTCTGTTGGCCACCAGTACTAGTTAGGAGGCTTTTACTGATCTAGTGCACTATTTAAAATCTTGCGTTTTCCTTCCTAGATATACACAAGAGTCGGCAAAAACATTTTTTCATACGCCACACACACATCCACTGGTGATAAAAACTGCTTCCTGTCTTGACATGCAAGAGACCTTGAGCTCATTGCAATCTGATAGACAGGAGTGATTGCATGTTAGATGTTGCTGGATCACAGAGCAAAACTGAATATCTGATGCCGTTTTTATATAACACTTGCTTACACAAAACTGATAAGATCATGCATTGGCATTGGCAAGAAAAGCTAGTTAAAGGCTCAAACTTTAAGTTGATGCATTACTTTTTATAAGCTCAAGAAATGTGACAAAACTAATTAAATAACGTAACTTTATATTGTGTTTAACTAGAGCATCGTTTCCATATTCACAGAGAAGACTGACTACTGTAGCACAGGCAGATTTTAAATGATCGCTCTTCCAACTGCATTTATCAGAAATCAAACTATTCTCAGGGAAATTTGACATTTTTTTTTACTGCCGAGTGTTCTCACAAATGCAACAGACTGACAGACCCACATTTTCTTTTTAAATGATGTGAGAACAGGAGCAGATCTGTAAACGTGACGCATAGTTGCTTCAAATATTTCCGCCAGCAGATCTTTAGAGGAACAGAAGGAGAAGAAGAATTCAGCTTCTTTGCCAAGTTTGTTCCTTCTGTAACTACGGTGCTTTGAAAAAGTGTTCATTCCCCTTAAACTTTCCCCAAGTATCAGCAGATTACAGACATAAAACTATCTAAATGATCAATAAAGTAGATCATTCAACATCACAATGCGTGATTGTGATGTTGAAGAAAGCGTATTCATGTTTGTTTTTTGTTTTTTTTTTACAGCATTTCATTTCTGTGTAACATCTCATTACAACGCCGACACCTGTGACTTATAAAAAAGTCTGGCCTAGTTTTTTTTCTTGTTAAAGATGGTGGGGGTGGCTTATTATCAGGTATAAGCAATAGTCCAGAAATGACTGAATCTGAAAAGCTGAGCATTTTCTTTGACTGCCTCTTTACTGATGTCATTAATCTAATATTTAATATTTGGGGCATGCCATTAGCAATGCATAAGGAG